CTTGATTGCAGATTAGGCACACACATATACACAGCAGGCTGTAAGAATTCTATGCATTTTCTGACTATTCTGACTCCGATCGTTGTGATAGCGAAATATATCCCTTGCTGAGACCTCTATGCCTGGCCTGTATAAGCAGATATACTCACTGCGGACAATCCTCGTCAGATAGCTGAACTTGTCAATACCGATTCATTCAAAAGAGGTGTTTATTCTTTTACATCAGGTTACAGCAGATGATAGGAACAGCAGTTGAACGGTGATAGTATTGTGCGGTCAGAAAATGATGCCTTTCCTACGTACTGTGCAGATTACATGTGTGTCCTTGTTACATGTGGCTAGTAGCTGTGGCCATGACACAGGAAGTACTGCACACAGGAAGCAGGAAGGGGCGTACACTAGGGGGAAATACATCGTCACATGAGGAATAATTACAGAAAAACATGTACATTACAACAAAAGGCCACTAGATGGCAGCATAGGATAACACATGGATTTAACTATGAGAAAATACATAGGCAAACACACTATGTAAAACTTCTATCTATACTAACTTCTACAACATATTCTATGCCCCATTGGGGCGGCACAGGTATTAATAAGTCAATAAGTGATGACACTGGACTTGGTGCAAACCCAGTTCGCCTGCGTTCACCCAAGCCCACTCAAAAGTGGCCGGCACCCCCCCTTCCTAGTCTAATCAGTGTCAGCGGTTTCCGCGGGGCCACTGACATATAGCTGCGGGGCAGGAAATGCCAGGGGGGGGGTGTTCACAGTTTTGAGCGGGCTTAAGCAAACTCGGCTCCCAACAAGCCCAGGCTCATATCTACCCTTAACCCTACCAACTCTAAATGTAAAAACGCACATTAACACACATCAAAACGCATTTCAACACACAAAGGAAACGCACAATGATGTATGACAATGCACCAACGCACCTGTCCAAGGTTACCAAAGAAGCACCTCTATGCATACACAGGCTCTCAGAATAATACCATGTGATATAATAAATAGGCGCCACCATCCTCCAACACAACATCAGGCACACTGTAGACTTCATGTAAAATTCCTGACGCCATGCACCAAAGTTCTTTGATTTGCTATTGGTTACTACACAAGTGAATCTTGATGACTCCCTCCCGTAGAAAGATAACCCACTGCCTCTAGCATAATGTGTACGTTCAATGTGCATTGTTAAAAATATCTATTGCATTTGCATGTGGAACGTGCGGAGCCGGCAGGATCTGAGACGTGGGTGGGTTGGTGTAGTACAGGTGAAGCTCCATGGGTTGTATTACATGGTAAACCTGTTTCCAGGCTGTTATGTGATAAGGAACTAGAGACAATTACTTTAAAAGTGAAGGGCGTGACTACTCTAACTGCATTTGTTCCTGGTGGTGACGTTGGAGCTTAGAAGTGAGTACTTGAAGCTGGCTTCCTTAGAGACTTCCAGTCTTGTTACAGGTATGAGGGGCCTGGGGGTAAAGGGGTCTATAAAGCGGGGGGGAGGTGGCGCGGGGGGGTGTTACATTAAGCTTGGGTGCCCTGTGGCTGTTCAGCTTGAGATTCCCCTGGAATGAGCAGAGATCTTCAGTCTATGAGGTCAGGTAGACTTCAGCACTGGGGGGGAAATCCATAGGTCATATTAGAAAAGGTCTCTCTTCAATCCCATTAATATGAAGGTTCAGCCAAGCTGAGTGTCCATGTCTACGGCAGCATCCGGGGTCACAGGCACTTGACAGCAGTTGGTTGGTGGCCGCACAGCCAAACACCCCTCCGATGTCTATACTCACCCTAATGTATGATGCTAAAGGACTACTAAAGCTAGTTAACAGTTTTATTTCTGGAGAGGAGGTTTTAATCATATTCATGCATACTTAAAAATGATCTGCAGTTATCTTAAAAAATTAACCCTTGCAGTGGGGCTACCTCCCGCACCACAAGGGTTAACTGCTTGGTTTTCTCTAAGGGATAGAATACAGAAGATATACTTAACTGATCTTCAGTCCTGTGGCAGGCAGCGCTCACCTCCTCTCCCCTGGGCATCCTTAACGTCTAATGCAGGTGAATGGACTGCATCAGACGTGATGACCTCAGCGGGGCTTAGACCTTTGGAGCCGGTCCCCACCGTCTGTGGGGACCGGTGTAGCAGCCAGGTGAGATTGAGAATCAGGTGGGTATATATTTTTTTTTTTTTATTCGAGCCCCTAGGCCAAAGCGAGCAGTTAACCCTTGCAGTGTGGGGGTAGCTCCACTGCAAAGGTTAGTTTTTAGATTCCTGAACTTCCTCTTTGAATTGAAGGGCAAAGCGAGCAGTTAACCCTTGCAGTGTGGGGGTAGCTCCACTGCAAAGGTTAGTTTTTAGATTCCTGAACTTCCTCTTTGAATTGAAGATGATATAATGGGGGGAATTATACAATGGCACCAAAGAATATTGCCAACAGTACCATGAAAGAAATTCTGTACTGAGAAAACATGTGGGCTCCCATTGCTCGCTTCTTCTTCTGAAATTGCTAGTTCCCTGGCTGGCATGTTGATCAACTCAATTTAGTATTTTCTAAGTCAATGTCCCAGAGCAAGTATGCGAATCGGGAGTTCTGCCATCCCCAACTGCATGCTTGTTGCAGGTCGGTGATACGGAAGGTATCGAAGAGCAAGACAGCCGGGCAACTAACAGATTGAGAAGTGCAGGTTCCATCGGTGCAGGTTTCTGAAATCTGTAAATAATAAAAATTGCAGGGAGGTAAGATTTTTTTTTTTTTGGGGGGGGGGGCAAAAGAGACACAAAACGTCTCTCCTACCAAAAAAAAAAACCAAAACCTTATTTGCTTGCTCCTAGCAAACTTTTATTTTGTGCACAATGCCTGCGGCACATGTGCAGTGTCACCCCCTGACAGATATTGGGAATGGAGCTGTGTTCCGGCCCAATGTAACTCAGTTGCAGGACTTGCATCATCCGTGGCCGGCAAGGGCTAAAGAGGAGCAGCGTGGGATGGGGTTGGAGAAGATGATGAGGACCGGAGACTACGAGTCTGGACCTGTCATCACTTGAGAAGGGCAATCAAGTAGGTAAGTGTGCCATCATGTGCAAGTTTGCTGAGCATTCTCATAGATGCTTCTGGTTTAAAAACGTGGGGGGTTTAAAGTGACATTAAAGTCTCAAGTTTTTCCCCATTCTAATTCTGCATGATGCCTCTTGATCCGATCATCTTCTTCCTTCCACTTGTTCCCAGCAGTCCCTCCAGTGCTGGTGGCGGTCTATGTTCCTCCGCAGACTGCTGTCTCTTTCTGCCCCACGGAGTCTGTCTGACGCACACACTCCCGGCTGCGTGCATTGACTTAGTGCGTCTCTCCTCCTCCCCCCGCCACTGATGTCCACTGCACATGCGCCCGCACACATGCGCCCGCACACATCCTCCTGCACGGCCGCTCGAGAAGCTTCAGATCTACAGCAGGAAGCGAGCGGATGAGACACAGGTAAGTTTTTACCTATTTGGTAACTTTTTCAAATGTTTTTGCATATATCTCCTGCTTGCTAGCAATAGATAAATGTAAAAACAATTGAGACTTTATTGTCACTTTAATATTATACTAACCATTCCCGAGGCTCCTGCCCAAGGCACCTAGGTGAGGGTGTCAGTTTCCTCTTTCCAAGGTGAGGATGTCATCATCCTCTTTCCACCGAAATCTGCGAAATGTACAGTAGAGTACTCTAAATCTTCAAGAGAAGACGCTCCCAGCACTGTGCTCATCATGCCCCGGGATCTCGTCGGCAGGAAGATGTCACCATTATGTTATCCTATGTGATACAAACAGAGGTTTGCCTGAGGACGGGACCGCATGGTCTCGAAACGTCGCTAAGGAGATGTGTGTTATCTCAGTCAATAAACAGCATTGACTTTAATATCATGGAGTGCGAGTGACTACTTTCATCTATCTACATTTCACGGAGGCATCCGTTGTCACTACCGCACCCACCCAGTTGGATTTGGGTTTTTGTCCGGTCAGGAGTGCGATGGGACAGGAGGATTAAGTATTCCTATCTGCATACTGTTTGGTTGAATGGGGGCGGGGGCCTGTATGAAGTGACCACATCCTACGGGTCGCAGCTCCATACTTCAGTGCTGTCTATTGCACCAGCCCACTGCTGTCAATCAGCAAAGGGGACCTGAAGTTCTCTATCAGGTCCTCATCTAGTGATTGACAGCAGCAGAGGGCGGGTGCATTAGCCAGCTTGCTATTGGATATTGCAAAGTGAAATAGCCAATAGCAATCTAGCTATGCATTGCTATGCTGGGTTTTTTTTATTTTTTTATTCTGATGGCAGCAGCTGTCAGAATACTAAAAAAAAAACACAAAAAAAACCAAACCAGCAGATAGCAAAGAAGCTGTGTTGTGGGGGGCGGCAGAGGGCACCTCCCTGAAATTGCTTTTTTAAGGTTGGGATTCCTGATGATAGCAAGGTGTATGGGCAACTTTTTTATACTTTAATTGACTACCTCTGCCCTAGCACAAGGAGTATGAAAGGATCTTCATAAAAAAAAAGTAAGAAACAAATCCTAGAAAAAACACGAAGGCAGCCACTGCATCTAAGAAGTGATGACATTTACACACATTGTAGCAGGCAACTCTTCTTTACTATAATACTATCCACCAAAAACATGGCCGCCGCAAGCGGCTCCTGGGTAGCGACAAGCCACTCTACCATGACGTCATCCGAACGCGTCATTCCCGGAAGCAAGTTGCGGAAGAGAACCGCGGGAGGAGCTGTCAGTGAGGCAGCGTGCAGTAGAAATAGTAGCAGGGGGAGGGCGCTGTCTCCTCATGTGCTCGGTGTCCCGGGTGAGCGCATCAGGTGACTGAGCCCCGGTGAGGACTTTCTCTCCTGCTTCTTTTGCTTGTATTGCTGAGCTGCTGTTGTGTGCCCTATCTGCTCTCCTCCTCTGTGTGTCTCATATGTGGCTGCTCTGACCTTGCCTGTGTTCACCATGTACAGGACTCTGAAACGATCCAGCATCCTGAGGATGGCTATGACAGGGGATGGGGAGCTGGAGAAGGAGGGCAGGGAGCCCTTCCTGGTCAGAGCCCTGAAGATCGCCATGGTGGTCACTCTCTACTGGTTTATCTCCATCACCATGGTCTTCCTGAACAAGTACCTGCTGGACAGCCCATCCCTGAAGCTGGACGCTCCGCTCTTCGTCACCTTCTACCAGTGCTTGGTCACGGTGGTCCTGTGTAAAGTCCTCAGCCTGCTCAATCTGGTCATCCCCTTGCAGATGCTGGAGTTCCCCTCCATTCGCTTCGACCTCAAAGTCCTGCGCAGTGTACTGCCCCTTTCTGTGGTCTTCATCGGCATGATCACCTTCAACAACCTGTGCCTCAAGTACCTCGGCGTGGCCTTCTACACGGTGGGCAGGTGCCTCAGTACCGTCTTCAACGTCCTGCTTTCCTACATCCTGCTGAAACAGACCACGTCCCTCTACGCCTTGCTGTCCTGCGGGGTCATCCTGGGTGAGGCTTGCTACGAGAGTTCAATTGTTTTGCATGTTGTATATTGTAACCTGAATGGTTTTTGGTTTTTCCAATGTTTCATAATTTAGGATTAGAGCTGCCTCTCTCAACCTCCCTTGGGAGGGTGCTCCGCATATTGATGGTCAGGGGAGAAGCCCCAGTTACATTGGTGGTCAGTGGGACTTAGATTAACATTTGGAGAAAAAATATTAATATTTGTGGTAGCCAAGGAACCCCTAAAAACCTCTGGAGGAACCTCTGGTTGTGTGAGGCTGAGTTAGGGCAATGCATAGATTGGGGAAGCCTTATCTTTTTTTTCATCTTATTTCAGGTTTTACTGCCCTTGGAGAGATTCCTTCACTTCCTGTCTGGTAAAAAGCCTGTCTCCAAGACAGGAAGTGAGGGGAAATCCCTCCAACAGCAACACAACAGAAGTTAAAGTGTGCGTGCGTGCGCACACTAGAACCTCCTATCAGTGTTTTATTGTTTGTTACAGATTTTCCCTCACTTCCTGCCTAGTAAGAGGTTGTCCCCAAAACTGGAAGTAAGGGGATGGCAGTAAAATCTGACAAGGGTTCTATCCCCATCCCATTTGATGCGCTATAAAGTAAATAGAATTTGGTTCTTGCCTTTGCACAGTTTTATTGTTTGTACTTTGTATTAGCATTTCAATGATTGATTTTACATGTCTTTGATCAACTTCTTGCCTCTGCAGGTGGCTTCTGGCTCGGCATAGAGCAAGAGGGTGCGGAAGGCACCTTGTCTTGGGCTGGAATATTTTATGGGGTCCTGGCCAGTCTCTGCGTTTCCCTGAACGCCATTTACACCAAGAAGGTCCTTCCCGCTGTTGACGGCAGCATCTGGCGCCTGACCTTCTACAACAACGTCAATGCTTGCTTCCTCTTCCTGCCCCTGATGCTGGTGTTCGGGGAGATCGGCACCCTGCTGTCGTTTGACAAGCTCAACTCTGTGCACTTCTGGGGCATGATGACTCTGGGGGGGATTTTCGGCTTCGCTATAGGGTACGTAACAGGGATGCAGATTAAATTCACCAGCCCCCTGACTCACAACATCTCGGGGACGGCAAAGGCTTGTGCCCAGACTGTGCTGGCTGTCTTCTACTACCAGCAGGTCAAGACTGTGTTGTGGTGGACCAGTAATCTCATGGTACTAGGAGGCTCTTTTTGCTACACGTGGGTGAAGGGTATGGAGATGAAGAAGACACAAGATCAGCCTGTGCAGACTAATACGACAGAGGAAAAGAACTCTGCTCCTGTGTAATAATACGACATTCAGACTGAAAATAAAACCGATATGAACATAGTGAGCATCAAATGTGAAAAACTGTGCACCCACCTATGGACCACTGAATGCAGTTATTTCATACTGCTTCAGCCACCCAACAACCTGCCGACAGGCGACATTTCCCGGAACCTTTGTAATGACTTAAAGGGTCTGTTCCCCAGACTGATAACACAGTATTGAATCTACTCAGCTGGGTGGAAAATATTAGCCATCTTCATACCTCTTAGGATTGGTACAGTGAGGGCCCATTTACACAATTACGTCTGGTATCACTCGTCCTACTCTGCATTGCCATAATGCTCTGTAGATGTGCCGTGCATTGCAATATACTTATTTGCATTCGTATGCACATATATAGTGCACTGTATAACAATGCAAATACTCTGTGCATTGAGCTGCATTGTAAAAAAAAAAACATGCAGGACCTATTTTGTTTAATGCACAAAGCATAAATGATATGGTGTGAATGAGCCTCCTCTTTATAGTTCTTGGCTTCACCCATCCACTAAGCCCAGTAAAAGGTTATCACACTCTGCTTTCTTTATTCTATAGCTAAAGGAGAACTATGAGGTGAGTGCTTTTCACTCACCTCATAGTTCTAGCCGACCTGTGACAATGAGACTGTCACAGGTCGGCTCAGTAGATCGAGAAGTGAGCGAACACATACCGGCATTCGCTCACCTCTCGATCCTGTCGCTGCTCTCTGCCGTGGCAGAGGTTGGATTCCCCCCTCCCCGATCCGCCAGCGCTGACTGGCGGATTGGGAGGGGGTGGGTACAGCTGGCTCTGCCTCTAGATCGGCAGAGCCAGCTGTCACTCACGCAGCTGTGCGGATCCAGACATAATTGTCGGGATCCGCTTCAGCTGCGGCGTCTCAGTATACCGCGAGCAGTAGTATACTGAGCTTAGGGTGACGGGAGGATGCTAGTTTGTGTCCTCCCGTTACCCTAAGGAGAACTATGGGGAAAAGCCTTAACCCCATAGTTCTCCTTTAAAGTAGCATTAAAGGCAGGCAGGGGAATTTATCAAACCTGGAGCAGATGAGCACCGTAACCAATCAGCTTCTCTCTCATTTTCAAATCTTAAGGTGCCCACACACCTTGCGATAATCGTACGATAATCACGGGAAATCCCGCGATCGTACGATTATCGCATGGTGTGTGGAAGGCGTGCAACCTCTACTACTGTAAGGTCGCACGACTTTTAACTTACGAACATGTTTGAAAACCCGCCGAGCATCGTACGATGTTCGGCGGGTGTATAGCATGTTCGTAAGATAAATGCCGCACGGGCCGGTGTGCGCAAGCGCACACTGCCCGTTCAGCATTGCGATCATCGCAAGTACGATCTGCCTGTCCAAGAAAGGCAGATCGTACGTTTTTTTAATTACCTTACAACCATTGCAAAACAAAAGTCTTGCGATGGCTGTAAGGTGTGTGCCCAGCATTAACTGAACAAACTGATGATAGAAGCTGATTGGTTGCCATGCACAGCTGCTCCAGTTTTGGTCAATTCCCCCACAGGGTGTTTTTGTACCCTTTTTTTTTTTAAAGGAGAACTATGGGGTCAGTGCTTTTCCCCATAGTTCTCCTAAGGGTCTCAGGAGGACACAAACTAGCGTCCTCCCGTGACCCAAAGGTCAGTAGTGTACTGAGAACGCCGCAGCTGGGACAGATCCTGACATTACTGTCGAGATCCACCCAGCTGCGTGATTGACAGCTGGCTTTGCCTATCTAGAGGCAGAGCCAGCTGTACCCGCCCCCGTCTGTTCCACCAGTCAGGGCTGGAGGATCGGGGAGGGGGGAATCCCTGCAGGGAGCCGTGAGTGACGGTCACGGCTCTCTGCAGGGACATGATCGAAAAGTAAGCGAGCGACGGTATGTGTTCGCTCACTTCCCGATCTATTGAGCCGACGCGTGACAGTTTCATTGTCGCACGTCGGCTCGAACTATGAGGTTGAGTGAAAATCACTCGCCTCATTCTCCTTTCGAATGCATTCTCTGCATTAAGGTAAAAACCACCCAGTACCTTTTTTTTTTTTTTTTTTAGCCGCCGGCCCAAAGCGATACTTCGTTCCCCATTCTTCCTGGTTGCGGGGGGGAGGATACTAATGGTGGAGGAGCCATAGGCTGGAGGGATGGAAGGGGGCGGGCATAGCTGGCTCTTCCTCTAGATGGGTAAAGCGAGCTGTCACTCATGCAGCTGGGTGGATCTTGACTGTATTGTTGGGGTCCGATCCGGCTGCGGCGCTCTGAGCATATAGCGGGCAATAGCCCTCTATATACTGAGTTTTAGGTCATTGGAGGTTATTATATGTCCTCCCGTGACCCTAAAGAGAAATGTGGGGAAAAGGTTAACCCATAGTTCTCTAAGGTCATTTAGAGTCAGGGTATGTTCACACCAGCAGTCGCGGTCAACCACATGGCTGCTGCTGTGCGTGTCCCCGAACAGTGCCGATGCGCTCGATCGAGCCGCATCGCACTGTTTTTCTTTTTTTATGTAGAACTTTCTTTTTTCCAAAGACAGGGATTCTGGGGGGTTCTGATACCGGTGTGCTGTTCTGTTCCCTTTTTCACACTGAGATGTAAATAATACTTAGTTGCTCTTTAAATCAGCCATGAAGTGTATATACAGCAATTTAGAAAAAATAAATATTTTTGTATAGAGAACATGTTTGTTCCATGTCTTGGCGGTCAATGGAGAAGGCCCTCCCTTACCTTAGCGGTCAATGGGCATAATCTTACAAAGATTATGCACAAACAATGGTAAATGTTGGGGCAGAATCTAGTACAGATGTCCGTATGGCTCAGAATGCCAGTGGGTTGATATCAATGATTTTTTTTAACTATGTTTACAGTTCTATTTAATCTCCTTGAGCTTTAGATTTAAATACAATATTTGTCAATACTTTCTTTACAATTCTATTTCACCTTTTATGTAATATTAGATTTAAATACGAGATTTATTATGCGGCAATCAAATTGGAAATAGGAGAGGAATCACTGTATTCTTAAAGAGACGGGATTTAATGTAGCGTCATTCCTTATGGTAAAATGCAGGGCATTGTGTGTACAATCTATAGGAAAGAAATCACAGCTGTTGCTCATGGCAACCTCATTTCTTGCTTTTCTAGCACTTTAGAAGAATTTCCCTGATTGCTCTGGGTGACGGTTCCTATTCTGATGCTTTGCACATTGTCTGACTGCCTCTTTCACTGTCACTTTTAGGCCTCATGCACACGACTAACAGCCGGACCCTACAGATCCATGCTGCGTGCACGGCCGTATCGCGCCGCTCCCGGGAAAGACAGATGCTGCGTGTGATTTGTATGCAGCAGCCTGTTCTTCTCTATGGGAGTACGCGGCCGTACTCTCACCCGAATCGCACATCTGTGCGGGTGTCCCTGCTCGTACGCAGGGCGGGATGGATCCTGTCTATGTTCGAGCATGGACACCCGCACGGATTTCCAGTTCAGGTGAGCGTACGGCCGCGTAATCCCATAGAGACGAACAGGCTGCTGCGTACACATCACACGCAGCACCTGTCCTTCCCGGGAGCAGCTCAATACGGCCGTGCACGCAGCTCAGATCTGTACGGGCCGCTTGTTAGTCATGTGAATGAGGGCTTAACATCAATGGAAAAGCCATGCCTTTTTTATATCCTGTACCCTTTCGTGGAGCGTTCCTTTCAATTCCTGTCCCTGGTGACGCAACAGGATAGAGTATGGAAGGGTAAGAACCCCAATGAGGTTTTTATCGCAGTCTGTGTCTCCTTTGGGAAGGTTCACCCTCTATTCGCCCCGGTAAGTATTGTCACCGGAACTGGAAGTGAGGGGAGAATCCACACTGAGTTGTCACTGAAACAGGAATAAAGGTAAAATCTTCCAGTGGGGAAAGCTGTCTTAAGTGGGGATTTCCTCTTTAGAAAAATGGAGGGGTAATTTACAAAACAAAGAGGGGTTTTATCCATTCCCTACACCTAATCTAAAATAAAAGTTTTTGCTTTTATTTAAAGGAAAACTATAGGATAAGTGTTTTTCCCCATAGTTCTCCTAAGGGTCACGGGAGGACACAAATTAGCGTCCTCCCGTGACCCAAAGCTCAGTATATAGCGGGCTACAGCTCGCGGTATACTGAGACGCAGCAGCTGGGATGGACCCAGACATTGCTGTTGAGTTCCATCCAGCTGCGTGATTGACAGCTGGCTCTTCCTATCTAGAGGCAGAGCCAGCTGTCCGTTCTGCCAGTCAGCGCAGGAGGATCAGAGCTGGGAGGGGGGGAATCCCTGCAGAAGCTGTGAGTGACAGTCACCGCTCTCTGCAGGCACATGATCAAGAAGTGAGCTAGAGATGGTATGTGTTTGCTCACTTCCTGATCAACTGAGCCGCTTGTGACAGTTTCATTGTCACACGTCGGCTCGAACTGAGGATGAGTGAAAACCTCATAGTTCTCCTTTAAGAAAATAAGGTTGTCGCCCTATGGGCACCTTTTTGTTTTCCTGGCATGATCCTGGGAGAAATTTGACGCTGTGGGTAACAGGGACACTTCCTTTCCGCACTAGGGATTCTGTTAATAGGAAATCCCATCTCTGCCTTCTGTCTCAGTCTAAAGTACAACTTGCTTTTAATATAGCAACCAGATTCCAACCATTTCCCTTTTTCTGGGCATGTGCTACTCAGATGAGTGTCGGTGGCACAGCAAAGGACGGATGTGATTTCAGCTGCTCGGATAAATGATTCTCTGTGTTCCAGTGGAAATACAACCTGTTTTGTGTCATGGGACAGCAATTCTTTCCAAATATTTTAACAATGTTGTCACTTTTTATATGATTCAATAAACCAGTAAAGGAGTGTGGTTGTAAATGTTTTTTTCTCTCCAATCCTGCAAAGCAATAAACAGCCTTTATTATTGGATGAACACACGCAGAACAGAAATTGATGTGACCTCTGTCACTAGAACATTTGTATCTAAACCCAAGAAGACAAATATA